TTACTTGAGCATCCTCCTCTATATACTGCAGGTATTAGTGCAACAGATGCTGAAATTATTGAAAAACTTTTTCCTATCTACAAAACTGGTAGAGGTGGTAAATACACATATCATGGTCCTGGTCAACGCGTTATATATTTAATGCTTAATCTAAAAAAAAGAAACAGATGTGATATCAGATTGTATATTAAAAGTTTGAGTAACTGGATCATTAATGTTTTAAAATACTTTGGTATATCAGGAGAGTGTAAAACAGATAGAGTGGGCATTTGGATAAGTAACAAAGGAATAGAAGAAAAAATTGCAGCTTTTGGTATTAGAGTAAGGAAGTGGGTAACGTACCATGGAATAGCGATTAATGTTTCACCAGACCTTGCTCATTATAGAGGAATTATNCCTTGTGGATTACAAGGGTATGGGGTAACGTCAATGAAAAAGCTACGAGTTGAAATTTCATTTTCTGAATTGGATGATATATTAAAACAAAAATTCTATAAAATTTTTTAATAAACTTCTCTTAAAGTTCAAAAAAAAATATATTAATATTATTACTATCTATATAGTATGTATGAGTATATTAATGTTTTAGAGGTAGGTAAAAAAAATTACTTGCTTTGGCGATATTATCTGCTGTTTTTTTTTTGCAAAGCAATGTTTTTGCGTTGATCGGATTAGAGATAGAATTTTTATTCTTCGTCAGTTGGTTGTACTAGTATTAATTATGATGTCGGTTATCACTTTACAGACAGCACTAATTTTCAGTTGGACCTATCCTTAAGCCTATCTTTAATCTAAAAAAGAAAGAATTAGGAGTAAAATTGGGGCTTGTAAAAAAACTTCATCGCCATCGTAAATTTGCAAGTACAGATGTTACTCCATATATTACTGCTGGTGCGTGTATGGTCGAAGTATTATAGATCAAAGAAGATGATGCAAAAGGAAAGTTGGCCGACATGCAAAAGAAGACGACTTTTTAGAGGAGTGCATTGCTATAGCAACCCTTATCGGCTACTAAAGTAGAGTTTGAACATTTTCAGTCAATGTTTTAG